CCATATTACATACATTTCATGAGCTACTGCGCAATGATGTAGCGTGAACTTGGAGTGAGCGTCATGAGAAGGCGTTTATACAAGTTAAGCGTGAACTATCATCAGACCGAGTGTTGACGCATTTAAACCCAAGCGCGCGACTTGTGCTTAGTGTGGACGCGAGCCCGGCCGGTCTTGCTGCGGTGCTGGCGCAGGGCCCAGAAGGCAACGAGCGCCCACTTGCCTTCGCTTCCAGGTCTCTTACAGCCAGTGTGAGAGTAATTAAAGCTAAATACATAAAGAGGCTACGGCTATAATATTTGGCGTTAAATATTTCCATCAATATTTATTTGGTCGTAAAGAACCTTTGTGCTGAAAACAGACCATCGGCCCTTATTAGCAATATTTGGTAAGAAAAATGGGGTCTCGGTAATGGCAACATCGCGTCTCCAAAGGTACGCCCTATTTTTGTCAGCATATAATTATGTGATTGTGATATAATATTGTGACACCTGATGATAAATGCTTAAGGGAATCAGATGATCACGAAAATACGTCTTACTTGAATTTTTTAGATGATACGATGTTGCCCGTTTCGTTTAATGATATACGAGATGCAACTACACGGAACTAAACGTTGCAAACAGTAATTAAATATGTTCGTAATGGTTGGCCTCGAAAAGTTCGTTGTGAATATTTAAGCGGATGCAACCGTATTTCAATTGTAAAACAGATTTGGAGGTGGAACATGGTTGTCTTATGCGGGTTCATGGAATTGTCATTCCAAAAATATATAGGGGTCGTATGTTAGAAGAACTTCATAATGGTCATTCAGAAATAATAATAATTATATTTATTTCTCCTCACAAATACCGACCATACATAATAAAAACTTATATCTATTTAAATACATGTATGTTCATACTCATAGCCTAGAATCTGTGAAGAGCTGGTGTTTGAGATAGGTAATAAAATGCCTGTATTACAAATCACCAGGTTTCCACCCCATGAGATATAAATAAGAGCATTATTTGTAATTGAGCGCTACATATAACTCGTACGAATTAACTTGAGACCTGGGCCGATGACAATTGTCAATGTACGGTGTGCAAAATAATGCGTCGTAACATTTTTTTATTTGAAATTTTTTAGATTTGCATGAGATTATTAATAAAAACAAAATAAAATGTTCCGGCAAGGGGTGAAGTAATAAGTGATATACCGTTGCCATTTTTATATATTTTAAATATTTATTTTTTATAATATATATAATATTATTTTTAGTTAACGCGTCAAGGAAGGACAAAGAAATAAACATACACACTTTCTCATTTATAATATTATTAATTTATTTATTATACACTTTATTGCACTATAAAAAGTGTTACAGATTCGTACACAATAAAAATACAAAGCATAACAGGCGACCTTATTGCTAAAAAGCAATCTCTCCCAGGCAACCTTAGGGTGAAAGTGAATCAATTTTGGATAAGCGGAACAGCACAAACTATGTAAAATCAAAGTAAAAACAGATAAAATAACGTTCAAGTATAACAAAAACAAACAAAAGTCCAAACCAAACAACAAACAATTATCAAAAATATCGAACTAGAGTCGAGACGCGTATCCGTAACAAAAATGCTATCGGTACTGAGCGCGCACGGCCAGCGCGGCACGCGATGCGGGGAGTCGGGAAGGAGGTCGCATTCCAGCAGAGTCTCAAATTAATTCGTACCTGTTGTATATTGTAGATCTTAGGATCATAATGTATTATTTCGATATAAGTGACAATTTAATTTATATGTAAAAAAAATTGTACTAAGAAAAAAAGATAAATACAAATTAACTGTAGTTTCGTAACCTCATATATATATATAGTGTGTGTGTGTGCGCGCGCGCGCGCGTGCGTGCGTGTGTGTGTGTGTGTGTGTGTGTGTATTTGCACTTGTGTGTATGCGCGTTTATGTGAACATTTTTTATTTATAGAGTAAGTATTCTGTACGGTTATAATCCAATTTTTTTAAACACTCGGCAACAATAAATTTGCATTTAGTTTTTGTAAGGGAATATATTGGTAGTTCCTTATTCAATTTATTATACAGGTTACTACTTTGGTAACAGAAAAATCGATGTGTAAGGCTAGTTCTGTATAAAGTAATATTGCGGACTTTATCCTTGCGGCGCTGATTCCTAAATATCTCTGGTTCATATTTTAATTGGGAATGTTTTTTAAGGACGGTATATAAAATGTAAAGCTGTCGTACAGTTAGGACTTTCCATTTTTGATAGAGATCAAACGTTTGATAATCGAATGGTAGGAGCGAGCTCATTTTTAAAAGTGCTCTTTGGGCTCGTTCAATTTTCAGTAATATGTGTTTTACAGGCACCACCCCATGAAGTGATACAGTACATTAGTTGCGACTGGCAAAGAGCGAAGTAAACTGATTTTATTACTTTTTCCTGACCCACATGTCTCAAGGCCTTAAATATTACCATTAATTTGCGTATTCTTGCCGTTAGAAGGTCAATGTGATAGTGAAAACTTAATTTATTGTCAATCTAAACGTATTTAGTTGAGTCTGTGTTTATAAGTTTTGGGCATGCACAGTTTGTATCATTGGGATTATCACACAAGTGTGAAACAATTCGATGTGTAGGGTCAGGCTTATCAGTGTTTTTAATGGAAAAACTGATATAATTTGTCTTTGAAACATTGAGTTTTAAAAGGTTCTTGTATAACCAACTCGTTACAATATTCATTCCTTTTTGAGCATTTGAGAAAACCTCATCCCATGAACTGCCACTGAGACGGAGGACCGTGTCGTCTGAAAAGGTAATTATTTTTGCATTTGGGATTTTCATCTGACAAAGATCATTTATGTAAATGAGGAAGAGAGTTGGACCTAGAATACTTCCCTGTGGAACCCCAAAATTTACAGGGACTTCTTCGCTAATGATGTTATCAATTCGTACACATTGTGTTCTGTCTGTTAAAAAATCTTGAAGAATAATAAAAATCTTGAAGAATAGTTAAAACCAAAGGCGTAGCGCGAGGTAAGATGTGGTGGCCGGGAATCGACTCTGCTATCGAGCGATTAGTGTCGAGCTGTAGCGCGTGCACATTGATTACATGCACCACGGACACCGCACGTATCTCGTCGTTGTAAACAGTTACAGTACATGGCTCGAGTGTCTCCACATGTGCAGCAATATGTCCACTAAAATGTTAATACAAAAACTTAAATATTTGTTCTGTACTTTTGGTTTACCCAAGTTATTAGTTTCAGACAACGTCCAAAAATATGTAATGATGTATTTCGAAATTTTTATACATGACGTCTCCTATTTATTACCCCTTTAGTAACGGCAAAGTCGAAAATTCCGTACGCACTTGTAAGAAAATCCTTAAATGTATCTTATCCTTTAAAAGTCCGACGTCTCCATATGGAGACGTAAGTGTCTCCTTCATATATTACCGACTATATACTAGGTCTCCTTGTAGACCGCGCCAAAGAATATACTAATATTTAGAGGGACGCCTTAAAACCAAAGAGTATATGATCACTAAGTTTACTCGAAACCATAGATAAGATTATAAATAACATTTAAAAATAATATATAAAAATAATATATTAAAAGAATTATATTATTATATAGTTCACATATAAACTTAAAAACTTGGTAATATTAAGTTGCTGAAAGACACGCTCTACTTAAAAAATTATATGCGTGTTATGATATTCAGTGGAATCTCTATAACTCGAACCTTGTTAAGTTGAAATGCTCAGTAAGTCGAAAAAAATTGCCATTCCCTTCCGCTGAACCCCTAAATACGCGGTATCTCTAGAATAGAGGTAGACTTTGTAACTCGAACGAAATGTTATTTCCCTACGAAATTTATAATATTATGATAATGGATAATACTATTGATAATGGATAATACTATTGATAATAGATATTTATACTCTATAACTCGATTTTCAAAAAGGAGACTCCGTAAGTCGTAGTTAGTAAACAATGATGACGTCTTACTTTGAATTCCCCCGAAATAATAGCAATAAAATCCGGGTTCTTAATCGTAAAGTAGCTGCCGCGTCACCTGCCGAGCGTCGGCCGAGCTCGGCGGGTGACGCGGGCTGCTATGCGTGGCATGAAACGTCATATAACTCAAAAAGTATGGATATTAGAAAAAAAAAAGTTTCAAACAAAAGTTTTGGCAAATAAACCGATCTTTCAAATTAAATTTATGCATTTTATTGATTAATCTAATATTTCAAGAGTTATTGGCAGCGATAGAAAAACCGGTTCATTAAATGGGCCATAAATTGTAAACGGTAAGTTTAAAAAAGTTTACTGGAAACAATAGATGCGAAATTTTATTTTCTACAATAATGGTTTATATAGCTTTTGCCTTAAAGTGCATGGTTTCCGAGATATCGGCTGAAAACGTTTTTTCAAGATGGCCCCTGAAGCGCTACCTGTTCATTAAATGGGCCAAAAATCATAAACGGTAAGTTTTACAAAAAAGTTTGCGTCAACAAAAGATGCGAAATTTTATTTTCTACAATAATTTTTTGTATAAATTTTGCCTTAAAGTGCATTGTTTCCGAGATATCGGCTAAAAACGTTTTTTCAAGATGGCGCTTGAAGCGCCACCTGTTCATTAAATGGGCCACAAATCGTAAACGGTAAGTTTTACAAAAAAGTTTACTGGAAACAAAAGATGCGAAATGAGACGGGCGAAAGTTCATAGGAAGCTGGGCCTGATGTTACAGTAACGATTACTGCATTATTTTATTTATATACCAATACCATTTACGAATAGGCGACTAGTAGCATTAGGACAGTCGTCAGTCGCCATTAATGACCGTCCTGTGAAATTTCCCCCTTGAAATCGCAAGGCGGCAGGTATTTATGTGCACGGCCACCATATTTAGCATGATACCAGCAAAGTGGGAATTTTTTATAACGAGACTGCGATAGTGATCTACACTAGAATTGTAAGTAGAAAAGGTAACCGAATGTATACGCTTTCAGTTGTTGGTCAAGGTCTTTGCAAGCGACACGTGGACCAACTGCTGCGATATACGGGAAGAGACAAGACACCTGAAACTGCGAATGACGTATGTTGTGCATCAGCATTTCACCCGCAGTATCCGATTGCCATCTCCCCTGCACCTCCCTCCGTTGGTATGCTGGATAACAATAACGCTTCGCCAGACAGCACAGTATCCACGAACACGCATTCTAATGTCGAGACATCTTCACGGGAAGGCAGTGAGCCAACTCCAATACTAGATGCGGATAGAGGAGAGCCGGTGGTGGCAGATCGGCAGAGTGTCTCGGCGGAGGGGATTATCGATCGACAGGATGGCGGGGAACAACCATATTCTGCTTCTGTTGCACCTAAGCCCGGTCCTTCCCCGCCACATAGCGATACCGAACAAAGCAACCGTCGTTGCCGTTATAATCAAAGGCCAAGAAAAAAGAAAATTATGTTCTCAAATTAATGCGGAAGGGACGATGTATATGCGCACAGGTACTTCAAAATAATGAGTCAGTAATAAACGAATTCTCTGGCAGTACGGTCGTTTTATTTAGATCGCATACACTACAGTCTCCCAACAGATAGGTCTTAAGATGAACATGGAGAAAACAAAGATCATGTATAACGTCCACGTCACACCTACGCCGGTAGTTGTTGGGAGCACTAAGCTCGAAGTTCTTGACGAGTACGTTTACCTACAACAAAGAGTCCGACTTGGTAAGTCCAACTTCGACCGAGACGTTAATCGACGGATTCAACTCGGCTGGGCAGCGTTCGGGGAATTACGACACATCTTCTCTTGAGGTATATACCTCCTACCTCAAAACCTCAAAAATAGATTCTACAAACAGTGCGTGTTGCCAGTGTTGACTTATAGATCTGAGACGTGATCCTTCACTGCTGGCCGTGTGAGGACGCTCAAGGTCGTTCAGCGAGTTATAGAGGGCTATAATCGGGGTTTCTCTACGTGATAAACTTAGAAATAGATACAGGTGGCTCAAGACCGTGTTTTGTGGCATTCCTTGGGGGAGGCCTAAGTTCAGCAGTGGACTTGTGAAAGACTGTATGAGGGGATGCTGTGTAAGGGGATAATGATGACTAATTCAAATAATAACGATCGTAAAATTAAAATGAAGTCATTTGAGTAACAATTATATTTGTCTAGTTAGAATCTTAATTAGTTCAATATATTTTCAATCTTGTTAAATTAATAATTAAATTATTAAAAATATTAACCAATTATTTAAACAATGTCAAGAAGCCTGTATTGCGGAACTGATTTGATTTACTCAAACTATAGTCAACCAAATCTAAGAAATACCTTTTGACGTTTAACATTAATCATTCCGCTACAACTTTGCACAAGCGAACTCACACAATTTAAAATAACCTTTTATGTAAATCGGAAGAATTATGAGGTTATCTGTATTTCATTACAACGTGTACATTTTATTTTTATCAACATTTTAAGTGCGAATCTTTCAAACAAAACAAAATATTAAAAAAAACAACCAGTATCAACTTTTTACTTGACGTCGTTTCAATGATACGTCGCTCAGAACCTTACCGTAGTGTTTGGATGATTAAAATTCATTCTTATGCGAATAATCAGCAAAAATATTCAAATAATCGGTAAAAATATTCAAATTTTATGAATTATTTGTTTAATTAAATTATTATTTTGTCAACGTAAATTTGTGTAGGTAAAAAAGGGAGCGTACTGTGCGTTTTTGTGTTTGTCTTATTATTTTGTGACTCGGCTTTAACTTTTTGGACTGTTTCTTCTATATTCGTTGAAGCGTGTGCCCATGTCACAAAGGCTGATGGAGTAAAAGAGATCTATCTCTTTTACTCCATCAGCCTTTGTGTCTGTTTTTGTTTTTTTTTTCTAAAAAACAAAATAAAATTGATTATGGATGACTTTGAAAGAGACATTAATTTTAACTGCATTATTGAAAATCAAATAATAATTAATCTATACACAACAGCTCAAGTAGCTGTACTGAAAGTGATTGAATAAATTTATTTTAATCTAGTTTCAATCTTAAATTTTTATAACTTTGCCTCTAGAAATAAGCAGTAACAATAAATAAGAAGAAACTGATAATCCTGCGTTTTCAATTATCCGATTCTAATTTATTCTGATATTATTCAAACCAAACTGTAAATGATTATTGATTACCAACTCTAAATTATCGATATCGATTTTTTTTGAATCGAATATTACACGTTCTTATTTTTGGTTGGCATGCTTGGTGCAATAAGTCCGATAGCTGTCAAAACTCAAAATGTATTTCTTAGATTTGGTTGACTATAGTATATGTATTTTTATGTGTCTTTTCATTTGACTTTTTCGTATACATTTATATTCACAGATATTACACGAAAAAGGTTTTTCTCCGGTATGTATTTTCATATGTGTTTGCAAATTAACTTTCTCAATACATTTATATTCGCAAATATTACACGAAAAAGGTTTTTCTCCGGTGTGTGTTTTTATATGTCTTTGCAAAGCACTCTTTGTAATACTTTTATATTCACAAATGTGACACGAATAAGGTTTTTCACCGGTATGTATTTTCACATGCTTTTGCAATATATTTTTTTCAATACATCTATATTCACAGATATGACAAGAAAAAGGTTTTTCTTCGGTATGTATTTTTATATGCCTTTGCAGACTACTGTTTGTAAAACATCTATATTCGCAGATAATACACGAAAAAAGGTTTTTCTCCGGTATGTATTTTCATATGTCTTTGCAAATTTCCTTTTGTAATACATTTATATTCACAGATATTACAGGAATAGGGTTTTTCTCCGGTATGTATTTTCATATGTGTTTGCAAATTTCTTTTTATAATACATTTATATTCACAGATATGACACGAATAGGGTTTTTCTCCGGTGTGTATTTTCATATGTCTTTGCAAATTAACTTTCTTAATACATTTATATTCGCAAATATTACACGAAAAAGGTTTTTCTCCGGTGTGTATTTTTATATGTCTTTGCAAATCACTTTTTGTAATACATTTATATTCACAGATATTACACGAAAAAGGTTTTTCTCCGGTGTGTATTTTTACATGTCTTTGGAAATGGATTTTATTTGTACTTTTATAATCACAATTCTTACAACAGTACGCTTGTTTTGCGACGTGCGCTTTAAGATGTGCCAAAATGCAACGTTTTCGAGATGATTTAAATTCGCAAATATCACAATTAAATATTTCCGTTAGTTGTGGTAATGGAGTGTGTTCAACTTGCGTCCAAACTGCAGTTGTGTCAGAGTTCTTTTGCGTCTTATGACTGTATGAAATGTGTTTGCCGAGAATGTCTTTCGTTGAATATTTTTTGTTACAATCATCACATTCAAAAATGTATTTTGTTGATGCTTCTGATGTTTTTTTCGTAAGGATATTTACACTCTTTTGTTTTAAAATTTTCTTTTTCATTGTCTTTGCTGGATGCTTTCCTTTTTTTATTAATAGGTTGCTTATCTTTTTTCAGTATAAGCTTTGATTTAATAGTAGGGCTTTCTAAATCGACGTTTCCTTTACGAACATCGTTTATGTTACAAGCAGTAGGTTTTAATTTAATCTTTCTTTTAGACGTTTTTGAAAAATTATTTGTCGATATGAGGTGTTGTTCTGAAATAAACACGAATTAAACGTTTGTTTTATTTTAAGACATTGTATATTTATAGTAAGACACCTTAAACGGTTAACTCTGGGCGGAATTTATGCCTCATGGTATTCTCTATACAGGGAGAAATAGAGAATTTATAATATTACATAATTATATAATTTTGCTAGATAAACTAATTAAATATTTTATATACATTTTTCATAGCAACATTTTCGTTGCAGTGAATGTAGAGAACTGAAGTCCCTTTTTACTGGAAACAAGGCATTTCATCTTGGTCCTCAAGGATGACAACGCATCTGCATTTGATTCTTAATTGAATATAAATGTAGATATCTATGGGCCACAGCATCCACTTCCCATCAGGTGGACTGTGTGCTCGTTTGTCACCCTTATTCTATAAAAAAGTAAGGACGAAGACTCCGTAAAGTGCGCTATAAGAGAATTCGTCATCACATTTTTTCCGTGGGTTTCGTAAGAGGCGATTATGTGTTTGCTAGAAAAATCTTATTGCTTCCGACAGCCGGCAGTATAATCACCACGTTTCCTTAAAATAAGCCAGAATGGCGACCGGCAACATTGTCTGAGGTGCTCACGTCTGGTTCGGCAATCCTCAATCCTATGCCAAGCCTAAAGACTAAGGCAAATCCTCTCTACATCGGCGGAGGTCATTCCATGTTCAGCAGTGATAGTTTACAGGGCGATTAATATGGATCTATAAAAACACACAAAAAGCAGCTCAGCAGTTAGGCATTCGCAATAAAATATCACGGTACTGCTCCCATACTATACCTGGGTTCGATTTCAGCTGACATCCATTAAATTGTTGATTTATAATTATGACACTATCTAGCCGGCAATTCAGAATTCTTTTTTACATTATCTCTGGCTGGGATCCCAGCACAACCAGAAGTGCGTTAGCTCAGTTTTTATTTTCTTCATTTGATTTTGTTAAACTGATTGTGTAAATGTATCAGTGTAGATTACAAGCTGACGACTTCGTCATATATATATATATATATATATATATATATATATATATATATATATATATATATATATATATATATAAGTTTTAAATTACATTGAAACTTTTTCAACTATTTTATCCTACAATTAAATATACTAAACACTAAACAAAAACTATTTATTTCAACCAGTATTCACAAAAAACTATTTACGTAAACAGCGTTCTGAGAGAATCAGAATGTATGTGGAACATAGTTAAATTGAATGTAATTCTGGCCTTTCTTAACTAATAATATGAATTTAGATTAAAAATTCAGAGAGGCGATCCGGATGTATGAGACCAGCCAAGAACACATAAACAGTTTAAAATGGGCAGAGTATATGCTTTATGGCATTATCTATCAGTTAACCTAGGGAGAAATAGAGAAATTATAATATGTATTATACATCATTATACTAAATAATGTTGCTAGATATAAAGTATTATAGGCAATTACACTGAATTCCTTGAATCTCATATTCATTTTTGGAGGGAAAGAATGATAAACTAAATTCATAAAATAATGATGATATTCTTCTGACCATGTTATAATTACAAACTAAGCATCTTTTTTTCGAATTCTACACAGAACTAGCGGTATTGTACACACATACATTTTGACCGGGATTTTTTTTAGATATTAAGATTATAATAGAAGTTGCCGTATAGGTGCGGCATAAGAAAATTCATCATCACATTTTGTCCCGTGGGTTTCTTAAAATACGACTATTGGTTTGTCAGAAATCTGATGGTTTCCGATAGATGGCTTTATACAATCCACAATACAATAACTTTTTATAGGCAGC